CTGGTTATAATGTAGTTCTTTTTTCAAAATATTGCATTGTTTTAGCATAAAAAAACTTGAATTATGTGGCTTTTTTGCGAGAGCTACCAGCGCTGCGTTAATAAAGAGATGGTTATGTACGTCAATCGAAAGACAGTATTTGCGATAGTTTTTTGTTTACACTGGGTATAGAAAATTTTTGCTACAGCTTGTTTACTACCAGTAGTATATGTGCATTTTTTTAAATAATTTATTATTAAATAGAGGGAAATGCGACCGAAAAGAAAGGTCAAAAGTTAGTAGAAATCCGGATAAATGGAAGTGCAATATTTCCAAAAAATCTCGTGGCGAAGTCTATTGTGGCTATGATTAACGTACATAGCCATCTCTTTATTAACGCAGCTCCGGTAGCTCTCGCAAAAAGCCGCATAATTCAAGCTTTTTAAGCTAAAACAATGCAATATTTTGAAAAAGAACTACATTATAACCAGGAGATATTGGCAATAATAATGTTCTTGTCATTTGATCAAAGTTCAGAATTTATTTTCTGTAAAAACTAAACCCAAAGCTGAACGTGCGCTAAAAACGGCGAGCGTTGTACTGACCATTTTTTTATTTATACTCGTTATTACTGCTGCATAAACCGATAGACCTAAATTTTGAATATGTTGTAACTAAATGTATAACTAATTAAATGATATTATATTAGTATTCATATTTGTCAGTTTTAAAATTTATAACAGAGATTTTTATCTCAAAGTTATAAAATGCTCGGGCAATGTAAACAAAATCGAAAATAAAAAATAATCCAGTTATTTAGGCTTGTCGGAAGCGCTAAAGACTCATGAGTATTTCTATGCAAAAATCAGCACGATACGATAATTATTAACGAAATGACGGCAGTTTTAAAATTATTTATTTTGTTAAATCGGCGCGGCGCGCAGCAAAGCGTCGATGTCTCGCTTGCCTACTGGGCTGCCCGCGGCCACGCGCTTAAGGTGGCTTCCCACGGCCTGTAGTTTTACAGGCCGCGCCGCGCCGCGACGGAAAAACGGGCGACGCGTAGATATTACGGACTGCAGGCGGAACTGTTCCCACGGCGTGTTTGTGCCCGAGTACCTTTGAAAACCAATCATCTGTTTACCTATTTTTGAGGTTACTAGTATTCGGGATTGGTGATTACCTACCATTTTGTGATTATCAACAACTTGTTTTGGATAATTATCAGTAATGTCAGATGAAGAAAAAACTGTTGCCGCAGCCGTTGTCATACTTTTTAACGGGTATTATTTACTTACGAATCAAAAGGAAAAGATAAAAAGGCGTTGGTGGACATCATCGTATAATAAGAGGCGAGCGAGGAAAAGTAATCCCCTTTCGCTTTTTTTTTCACTTAGTGTGCCATGGAAATCTAGTGACATTATGGCTAACCTGATTTTTATATTTTAAGTAAATTCACACAGTTTGTTTACATTAAGTGATTTCGTTCGTCCACCCATATTAAACCCACCAAAAGTAACAAGAGTAGCAAAAACAATGATTATGTCTGTCTACATCAACAGGTCTGCACGAGCATGAACGCACCGCGCTGGATCGGGCCTTTGAACTTAAAGACTCATGAGTATTTCTATGCAAAAATCAGCACGATACGATAATTATTAACGAAATGACGGCAGTTTTAAAATTATTTATTTTGTTAAATCGGCGCGCAGCAAAGCGTCGATATGTCTCGCTTGCCTACTGGGCTGCCCGCGGCCACGCGCTAAGGTCGTTGTGCAATCCGGACGCTCAATTATAGTGTCAAAAATAACTTTTTCCACTAATTATACTTTAAAATTCGGAAGTAATGTAATTTTGGCCGTCAGTAGAAAAATGTAGTTAAAAATAAAAAGTTTATTGTTTTCTAAGCTAATTAGGCCAATCAAATTAGAAGTTAGAGGGGTCACTTGGAATAAAAAAAAGTGTTGGAAAGCTAATTTTGTGTTTGTGTTGGTTAGTTAAAATGCTTTTTATTTGTAAAAAAACCAGATACAAAACAATGATTCAACACAATGGACACGTTTTTTTGTAAAATAACGCTTTAAACATTTGCTAAAACTAATTTATTCCACTAATTTAGAGGTTCTGAATGAGGCTGTATAATTATTATTCAGTGGCGGCTCGTCAGGGTAGGCAAGGTAGGCGGCGCCTAACCTAAGATTTTGGCAGAATTTAAGCGATTTATTACATTACATTATTGACTATTAATGTTGCCAATACATAAAAATACTGTTAACACACGGAAGTGTGTTTTAATAATCAATATTATTTTAATATTTGTGGTCTTGTATATTAACATATTCACTACCGCTGGTGTACGCTGACCGCTGACTGTGCCGCTGCGTTAGAAAACAAAATAATTTTGACCGTTGGAGTGCCTTTGTTCACTTGTGTCTAGCCCTAGCAGGCAACTATTAAGCCCGACCAATCACGTTAGAGTTTTTAAAGAATCCTATAAAAAATGTCCAACGCATTTAACATCTGATCTAACAAACTTGTTATATTGATACATTTCCAACGCATTTAATAGTGATTTAACAAACAAAAAATGTTATTGACGAACATAAATTAATGAATAAATTGCAGGTATTAAATAGATATGATAATTTCGAGCATAAAATAATTTAAGGAGAATAATACTGGAAATATATTTCCAGAGGCTTTCAAATTGTTTCTTTTGTTTGTTACTACACCATTTACAAGTACTTGGGTTGAGAGACATTTTTCATGTTTGAAATGCATTAAAACTTATAGTAGAGATTCCATGAAAAATAAACGTTTATCGCCACTTTCAATGTATAAATGATGATTTTACTGATATAATAATAAATAACTTTTCTTTATTAAGAGACAAACTCATCAATTTAATATATAAAACATAATTATTCTTTCTCTCAATACTACCAAGTTAGTATTGAGAGAAAGAATAATTTAAGTTATTATAAAATAAAATTCTATGATGTACTCCATAGTGACCCATAGTAATAGATAAAATAGATTAATAAAAACTATACTTGTACAGGGTGGGTCAAATTCGACGCTTTTAAAGGGAAACACCCTTTTCTATAGAAGATAGACAAAAACTAATATCGGTGTCTGGAGCTCAATTTTTGTCAAAAACATGATGGTGAAAACCGCATATCGATATATGTTACCGTTTCGGAGTTACGGGGTGTTTTTCAAAAATATGCATTTTTAACAAATCGCTATAACTTTTTTGCTATGGAAAATTTTGCACATAAAAATGCATTTTTATGAAAACATTTCCAAAGCACCTTTTTACGTAGAATTTAATGGTTTAAGTATATTTTCTTTTAAATTAATAATTTAAGAATTATCAACAGAAAATTTGATTTTTTATATGGGACACCCCATATATTTTTAGTTTATTGGAAAGAATTTAAAATTACCTTTCCAAAAATATAACACACTTGATATTTTGCTCGATTCCTCTTCGAGATATAGAGTATATAAAAATTTGCCCGCTTTAAATAAGTAGGCTTTGAACGGCTGTAATGCAAAAAAATTCTAGCTGTGAGCATCAATTAAAACGAAAATAATATTTGCTACGAGAGATGCAAATTATAACAATTTAAAATATATTTAACCAACATCAACACATTTAAACTATATCTAATAACAACAATAAAAATAAATAGCAAACCAAGACATGAAATTTTGCTACAGGTGTTCGACATATCGACCGTCTTCTGTTATGGACAGACGGGGCAGTTTTTGAATATTTCTCGCGGAATTCATTAACTCAGTAGGGGTGAAAGATACCCGCTCATAACTGCTAAGTATTTTTAATTCTTGTCTAGATTATAGGGAAAAATAAGAAACCTTTATTCTTCCGCAAATATATCCATAGGATTAGATCCATGGGCACTAAGTCAGGCGGCCTCGACGGCCAACGGCTGGGATCTTGGTTAGCTATCCAAATATTTTTGAAATTGGCTGCAAAAATTTGCTGATAACTTCAGCGTTCAGAGGCGGTGCGTCGCGTCGTCTTGCTGGAAAAATATGTTTTCGAGTTCCATTAAGGACATATCATCAATAAGGGGTCCAAGCCTACTAGTTAAAAGTGGCGAACTTTTAAAAATTCTGTATTTCGAAGGGGATTATAACAAAATTTCAGTTAATTAAAAATATAGCGGGTGTCCCAAATAAAAAATTAATTTTTCTGTTGATAACTCTTAAATTATTAACTTTAAAAAAATTATACTTAAACCATCGCCTACCCAGTCACATGGGTCACGAGCCGCCACTGTTATTATTGTCTAATTTATCGTAGAAAAGTTTTAAAATCGGAATGGAAAATAACCCTGAACTGTTTGGGTTTGAAAGTACCCAGGTTTTCAAAATCAGACAACGGAGCATGGGTGTGATCTCTGATCATATGGATAACTGATCCGGTGGTATAAAGTACTGCACCACATTTGTGCGAATTGATTGATGTACAACGCCATTTTGTTCTGGTGGCTTCTGTATGTTTCATCATATTGTAAACATAATTATCAATCACTATTTTTGGATGCTTGCCCCGCTTTCCCATACCTAATAATACTTCCTTCCATTCACCTAAAATAGAGCAAATTATTGAAGAAACTCACAGACATCTATCACAGTACACCAGAGCAGTGGCGATTTCCTAATAACGCATGTGCACGTAAAGCCTAAAATTCAAAGCCTTAAAATTAAGCCTTTAAATGTTATCATTCTTGCATTAATTATACCTATTTATTGCAAAAATGATTTGTCATAGAAATAAATAAACGAAAACGAATTTAGTTGTTTAATGTAGTTGTTTACGCTTTCGCGGTCATCGTTTGAAGAAATGTTGTTTTTCGGGTTATTAGGCCGTCGTCGGTTGGAATTAAATATCGGAACATTAGCAAATAGGGCAAGACGCATTTGTGCTAAGGAACACATCCAAGAGGAACTAAGCCACCTAAATAAAGCCTTTCTTGCCAATGGCTACAATGACAGAAATAGACGCGGCGCTGGCACCTAGGCAGAGGAGACCTGATGTCAATGAACAGGAAAACACCGTTAATAAGGCCTTCCTTCCATATGTTTCCCAGGTCACCGATAGGATTGGTAAATTTCTCAAAAAGCATAACATCAAAACCATATACAAACCTACCCGAAAAATAAAGGACTGCTTAAGACCAGTGAAAGAAAGACAAAAGGCAAAAGACAAAAGAGAACCATTATCCTCTGCAGGGATCTACCGTATACCTTGTTCCTGCGGTAGCGTATATATTGGAACTACCAAACGCTCAGTCGGAACGAGACTTACAGAACAAAAGAGAAGCTGCAGGATTAGGGCAAACAGAGAAGTCGGCAACATCTGGATATCATCCTCGTCTGGTCAGGGAAGCTGTTGAAATTCACAAACATCCAAATAATTTCAACAGGAAGGAAGAAACTTTCTACCTTAACAGAATTTGGCAACCAGTTACATCTAGGACCAAAGTAGAAGCACAGAGAAGTAGACCAGTTCCGGAAGAACTACCACCGGAACAAGCACGCCCCCTCCGCCGCCGACGCGTAAATACGCGCTACGCCGACGCGGAGGCAACAGTCTAGTGTTGGTGTGAGCAGTCGGAGCAAACACACCTCTGAAGATGCTAGCCACTCGTGCAAAACGTTAGGAACCAATTCCAACCGACGACGGCCTAATAATAACCCGAAAAACAACATTTCTGAAAACGAATTTCTTATCTGATATTAAGGCAGCAAACCCCTATCTGTTACTTTCTAAACAAAACTCCCAATTGCTATAATGACAGCAAAGCAGAACCAAAAGACAATTCTTAGGTTAGTTTAGTGGTATGGCGAATGCTAAGTAATTATATTAAGAGTCTATTACGCTATTTTCGGGTTGCTCTCAGGGGTAGGGTAAGGCGGGTGTGTGGCGGAAGGAAACATATAATTTTATATTTCAAAAATCTACCTAAGGCTTAGCCCGATCTAGACGTGTTAAGCCACACCCAAAATTCCAAACACACGTGCTTTGATTAAGGTTTGCAGAGCTTCAGCATTTGCCATAAAATAGCAAGTAATTTGTTACAAAATATATATGTTACTACTTATGAATGGTAGCAAAGCAAGTGGTAGTAAGAACCAACCAACCCCACCAAATAATCACCTAACCAATGCATTAACACCCCCCAAATAACCAGGCTAACAAATGCATTAACACCTTCCAAATAACCAGACTAATGAGATGAACCGCCTATTTAAAAATAGACATATTTATTTAAATTCAAAACATTCATTTTTAAGACACTCTGTATACATAAACAAGATTATTGATTTTTAAAATATTATTCACAAACTAGGGAGAGGGAAATCAGGCGACGAACAGAGGTGATGTTTGTTAGATAATAGCTTCTAGACTACCATTCAAGACGCATTAATATTATTTTGGTCTGTAAGTTTTGTGACAAAGAATGTTATTAAAGGTAAAGTAAATGTTTTCTCATTATTTAACTAATGTTAACTAAATCATATTATTTTGTTTTCTTGTTGTAATTCTGTTCTAAAGCTTTTTCATTATTCATTAGAGCTGACAAAGACAATATATAACATGTGTATGCATTTAATGGAATCTATTTATGCTGTAAATAATTTCAGTTTAAAAGTACCTAATCTAAATAAAATCGTTTACTGTTCCTTCGTGCCGATGTTTGTGGTTTGTGAGAATAAGAGCCTTATTGAGTGTACTAACAATTTTCGACCTTGCATGGGCGAATATCTTAGCTCGTATAAGGGCAAACAAAAACAATAAATAAAATAATTCATAGAATAACTTACAATTTATTAAATCATAAGATATTGGCACCAAACCTTCAACTTTAGCGTCGATTCCGCAACAAGGGACTTCGTTCCAATTATACCAACCCGTTAAACTAACAAAAAACTCTTCAGTTTTGAACGATATAAATGTGGCATGTTTTGAATGTATTAAACTATAAACCTAGGTATGAGGACAGTTTCTATATTATTATTTCTCTATTATTTAAGTTCAGAACAGCATAGTTAGATTCTCTGGAATAGTGATCATGGTTTTCTCTGCCGTGCTCTTTTACATGTGAATTCCAGGCAGAGTACGGCACTCCATTCATTTCATTTAATAAAATAAGTAGGGCTATTTACAAATTTAGCGTTTTATTTACATAACCTATTCTCCTCAAATTTCCCAAAATATTGCTTTGTCGAGGCGCATCCGAGGTAATCACAATAAAAAATATTTAACACAACGTAGGTTCCTTTCTTTCATTTAAATTTTTTGTTATACAGTTGGCCAAAATATTACCTCTTCAACTTTGTTGACGAATTTGGGTTGTTACACTACACTAACCTAATTAGTTAGGTAATGTTTTTGGTAAATCCTAGGTTAAGCGCGCTTATCCTAGGTTTTACCGCATTTCGGACATTTACAGTAACAAATATAAGACTGATACGTTACAAAAATCGATAATCGTTAAAATTTCAATGCCTAAGTAAACAAAAACAGAGATGTCTTTGAATATCGACATCCTTAATTTGTCGATATTGTTGCTATAAGAAAAATAATTTATACTTTTACTATCGCGGTGTGGTAAATCCTAAGATTTACAGTTTGGGCCCGTAAAAGTCCGAAATGGAAGCAAAATAAAGAAGTTTTCGAGCTTTTACCACTTGCACTTGCTTTTCAAGCACTCCAAGTCGCGGCAGTTAACAGAACCATCTGATGAGGAAGAAAAAGATGAACGCCTACGCAGGAATATGCACGGCACCTTAAGAAGAAGACTTGCTTTTGGTAAATCCTAGGTTTAGTGCGCTTATCCTAGGTTTTACCGTATTTCGGACATTTACAGTGACCTATATACATATAAATTATATATCACTGTAATCTCAAAACTTCAATATATTTCGGTATTGTAACGGAATTTTAGATTATGTCTTTATTTTCGAGAAAATTTAGTTCAAACATAAGGAATATTTTGTTCATGTTTGACCATCAAAATCTTAAAAATAAAATAGTTGTCTAAAAATGTTCTACAATATTATCTTTAATTTCCTTCTTCATTTGTGTAAAAATACCTAGCCAGTTTGACATAAAACGTTAAATACCGAACGCTTATTTTGCCACTTTTTCGGACTAGTAAAATGGACTCTTAAGACCATTATCATTTTGAGTAAATTTTAAATTGACTCTCCTAAAAATTGTGGAAAAACGTTCTTTTTTCGCATTGACCATATGCCGCATTGACGGAATAGTGTCTGACAAAAGGATCTCAATCAACGGGGTAACGGTATTTTTGAAAGCGGTTTTATGAAAATATATCAGAAATTCCCTGAGAAATTCCTACACTGAACCAAAAGTCGACATAAATATAATGAAAAAGTTCATTAATATAATGAATTAAATCATTAATTTTGAGCCGATGAACGATTTCATTGGCACAATGAAAAGTAATTCATTAACTCTATGAACTTTAAGTTCATTAAATTAATGAACAGTGTTCATTAATTTGAAGAACACGGTACAATAAACAGATTTCATTAATATAATGTACCTAAATCCTTATATTAATGAACCGTTATCATGAATACAATGAAATAATTTCATAACCTATTTAGTTATACATTTAAAGGTCGACACTATTAGTAACTTTTGTTACACCGTATAATCGATGATGAAGATCGCTGTCATTGATATGAAATGTCATTGATAATCATTTCCCAGCCAACTACCTGATATAATTCTACTGTAAATATATTTCCATTTGAACAAGCCCTTAGCTACAAAGGTAACAAAATTACTAATAGTGCCGACTTACTTACGAGCACAGTAAATTTTTCCATTAGAGATTATTAATAAAAAACAAGTGCAATAAACTAATAATAATTAAACTCGATATAGCATATACAAATTAAAAATTAAAAAAATCGAATCGACTAAGAGAAGAGTAATGTTATTATTAATTTTAGGATAAATTATAATAAGAAAATTAATTTACCAGTCGATATCCTGAGGGATTTCTATAAAAAGACCATTTCTTCATTATATTAGCTTAGACTTGATAACGTCTAGACGAATTTGCAACAGGCTTTCCAAGTCGCATAAAGTGGGTCCGATGTTAAATTGTCGAATTTGAGGGCTTGAAGGCAGGTCTCAGCATCTTGTTCCGGTTCTAAAATACGTATATCAAAATCATTAAAATGCCAAATATTAAAAGAACATTCGAATTTACCATAATCAGTTCCATGCCTCGACTTGTTACTACGTTTTTCTTCTTTTTGTTTTTTATCTTCTGAAACATATTTGGAAACCGCTGTTTTAATGAATACTCACACCAGAGATCTCACACAGCGGAGAATTTGATTTGACAACACAACAAATTAACTACAATACGGTAGGGATCCTTTATTTAAAATATTTTAAAATATTGAGAGAGAACACTTACCGTTCTAATGAAACTAAAGCCTCACTGAATAACTCAACCATACAGACGTTATTAAAGCGTGCCAAAGTAACTGATCAACATGGCGGACATTTAAGCCCTAATATTTTATTCATGATATTAATAACCGCGTACATTAATATAATGTAGTGTGTTCGTTGTATTAATAACATTGTTCATTGTCACAATGTACAACTCATTAATCAATGATTTAGTACATTAATATAATGAATATGCGTTTATTAAAGTTTCAGCACTAAAATGAAGAACGCGTTCATTGGGACAATAAACGCGTTCATTAGATTAAAAAATCTTACATTAATTTAATAACCAGATTTTCATTATATTGATGAAATTAAATTCATAGTATTAATAAATCGGACATCGATCTATGATTAACAAATCATTATATTAATGAAAAAAATCACTGTCCCAATGAAACAACAGTTAATAATCAATGTTCATTAATATTATGAACAATATTTTTTTCAGTGTATAATATTTTCCACCAAACATCATAACATTATTTGCGTTTAATTCGTTATTCATTAAATTTCATAACGCTAAAAGTACTTGGAAGCAAATTATAATAAATCGAAAAAATTTTAAGACTTTAACACCCTGTATCTACGAAATAACGCGGAATCGGACCTACGAGAGATGGTACATGTTTTTTGAAACATCCTGTATATTTTATAAGTATATTTTATTTATTGGCCAGTAAACCAATTATTCATAATTTCCGAATTCTTCTCTTTCAGTGCACGTTACAAAGTATATTTTACTTATAAGAAAAAAAATGCATAGTGGAATGAGGTTTTATTTTATTTAAAAGAAGCAAAATAAAGTACACTACAAAGGCTAAAAATATTGAAAACACATAAAAGTACAGTTATATAAAACACATCTATACTACGTTCCCCTCAAAAACATAAATATGTTTTTAAAAATGAGAGAAATCGTTAAAAACTATGAAAATACATTATATATTATAGTAATAATACTCTCACTGGCTATAGGTATATAAAAGCAGTTAAAATATTTTGAATATAGAGAAAGTGTGTCTAAGAAAATTATTCACATATTATGAAAAATACCAGAATACAAACAACAGAAAATCATTTACATACAGTGTCCGTTAAAAATTACAATATTATATTACAGTTATTTACTTTGTTACGTAATACTTACGATTATTTCTATTACATTGACTTTGTTTTATGTCATATACTGGGCGCGTCTCCAAAGTGGCTCACCCCTATAATTTTTTTTTATTTTTTCAGATAAAAAACGAGATTTGGTACCTTAGCATAAATGAGGATTGATTAATATATGTAATTGTCTTTGGTCACTTCCTGTTTCACCGGAAATAACTACAACTTTTGATTTTTAGATGGCACCCCGGTATATTTTTACATTCGATAGAAATTGACATTCTGAATAGAATGACATATCATATGTCAACTTTTGACATTTTCGTTTAAAAAAAATCGTATTTTAAATTTTAATGTAAAGTGACATGGCTGTGTTAAGGACACTAATTTTTAATCAAGGAGCCTAGGAAAAATAGATTTGATCGTCTAATGTTTTTCGTGTCTTATCCTGGTCGGTTAAAAGATCCCCAAATCGTATTTTTAATCAAATCTTAATTTTTTTAAAGAGAACAAGGGTGGCTCATTAGCATATTTGAAAAAAGCATTTTTTTACGAATAATTTGGTACCACACAGTTGGTATTTTGAGTCAAATTGTCGTTATAAACCGCATGTTACAATTTCAAATAAACCATATACAAAAATGTCAAAAGTTGACATATGATATGTTATTCTATTGAGAGTGTCATTTTCTATCGAATAAAGTAAAAAAATACCGAGGGTGTTATTTAAAAATCAAAAGTTGTAGTAATTTCCGGTGAAACAGGAAGTGACCAATGAATACGTCAAATGAATACGTCAATCAATCCTAATTTATACATACCAACGTACCAAATCTCGTTTTTTTAACTGAAAAAACAAAAAAGTTATAGGAGTGAGCCACTTTTGAGACGCACTCGATATACGAAAAAAATATATGAATTTCAGAATTAAAATTCAAAAATAATATTTTTTCGAATTTTTTTTATGGGTTTAAAATTTTGCAAAAATTGAAAATCATTGATCATCGAAATACGTAAAATCAAATTCTGAAGAACTTTCTGATGTTGTTTATGTATTCTATTTGTTATTGGACATGTTATGCTGAACTAAGCCAAGGGAACCTTTTTTTCCTCTTGTTTATTATAAAAAAGTTGACATTTGTCCTGGCTCGCCTTGTACTTAGTTTATTATTTGAGTTCTTCAGAAATATTATTCTATCTGTATAAAATAATAGTTTAAAATAAGTAAAGCCGCCGAGAGACTATGTCTTTTTGAGTTGGTACATAAAATAAGGCAATATCTATGTACGATCTCATATTTGAATATACACAATTTACTAACATTATTATAACTGATATTAGTTAATAGACTGTGCTATTACTACATTTACTTATTAGAGGGACACTATATAGGCGTAAAAACTCCTCTACGCTACTCACGAAGTTCTACGCGACACTTCTGAAAATTGACAGAAGTCTAAATACGTGTCCACACGATTCGTAGCTATCGGGACCACACATGCGGCAGTTGGCGATCTCCGTGCACTCGTCAACTACCGATCTTGGCGAAGCGAAGCGGAGTTCAAAAAAAGGGCACCTTAAAATTTGATGTATTTAGAAGTTTTATATTTTGTGTTCTAGTGGACCGATTTTGATGACCTTTAAAGCGATTATATTGTAGCTAAATTATTTGGCATTTTAATATCTCTAAGTTCCCATCTGTCAATTATACAAGAGAACACAAAATATTATTATTTTGGTGAAAGTATGGAACACCCTGTGGAATATGTTAAAAAAGAAAGGAATTTGAAAATAATTTTATCATCTAGGTAGGTGCATCGATAGTTTATTTTTGGGTTCATATCATTTAATTTTTTTGAAGATGATAGGATCAAAATTATGTCACTAACAGATTTCGGTGTGCACGAAGTACAGTACAGTCACTTCAATTCAATCAACGAATTGAGATGATCGACATATTGTAAGTTTATCGCTAAGAAACCGTCGTCGTTTGCCAGCTATCCAATTTTTTAATGAATTACACCTAAGGAACGTATAAGTGAACGGACTGTAAGAAGAAGATTGAACTAAGCTAGTCTTATGTCAAGTAGGTCTTCTTCGGGACCACAACTTATTAGGTCGTTGTATCTTCTTCAAAAAAGAATATCTTCAACAAAAATAAAGCTATTAAGATGAACCAAAAAATAAACTATCGAGAAAGCATGTACGTAGATGATAAAATGATTTTTAAATTCCTTGTTGTCTAAACATAATTCACAAGATGTTTTAAACTTTCACCAAAATATCAACATTTTGTTTTCCCTCGTATAATTGACAGATGTGTATTTCATTTTTAATTTAGAAAGACATACTAAAAAGTCACATAATTTAGCTACAAATTGCTTTAAAAATCGTCAAAATCGGCTAACGGAATACGAGTATATTAAACATTAAAGAAGTACAGTAAGAAACTCGCGAAAAGAAAACAGTAAGAAAGGAAGAGTTATCGTTCAAATAAAAATGGATAGTGACGGTTCTGTGACAATTTCTGCGTATATATTTTGTGGTATTATAGGCGAGGCAGTTGGCGAACATTTGCAATTCGCCAACTACCGCATGTGCTACAGTCATTTGACTCGGGCTCAAAAACAGACACGAAATGCAAGTCTTTCAAAGAGAAATGACCAGGACATCCCAAAGTACTTTGTAGAAATTCGTGAGTAGAGATGAGATAAAATTGAACCAAAAAACACGAGATAACTCTCCACATTATTCAACTTTAGTCAATCATGGTTTACTTAGGTAGTAGTGTAGTGGGTGTTTACTAGAGCAATATCCTAGAGTTGCCAGACCTTACTTATTTTCTCACAAATAAAATATATGGGAATAAAATATACTATGTGCATTATTAATAACAATTAACAGGTACAGGATACGTAGAGACCTGCTAAACAAACACAAACCTCTTCCTTTTTGAATGTAATAAATGCGGCATGTTTTGAATGGCTTGTTATAACTATAAACCTTGGTATGATAACAGTTTCTGTAATATTATTATTTATCTTTTATTAAAGTTCAGAACAGCATAGTTGGATTCTCTGGAATAGTGGTTAAGGTTTTCTCTGCCGTGCTCTTTTACTTGTGAATTCCAGGCAGAGCAAATTACAGAAAAAATTGCAAATTTAGCTTTTGATTTACATAACCTATTCTCCTCAAAGTTCCCAAAATATTGCATCTGTCGGGCGCATCCGAGGTAAGTTACAATAAAAAATATTTAACACAACGCGTAGGTTCCTGTATTTCATTTAAATCGTTTTTTTAGTAGGCCAAAGTATTACCTCTTCAACTTTGTTGACTACCCTGAGTAGTATAACAAACTACATTATAAATATTATTATTTTTATTATTTAGGTAAATCAAAATAAAGATCTTGGCTTCAACTTCAAAGCAATATTACCTGTATATTTTGTAGTTAGGAGACTAAAAGGCACCGCTCAAAAAGATTATGTTCCAACACCGAAAGTATCTGGTAGTATTGGTTATTAATTTTTAACAATATTCTCTAAAACATAAGAAAAATCCACACTGTACTTTAAGAAAAGTACTTATGCATTAGTACTGTGCATACAGTCAATGCACGTACTAATACTACATTATCCTATACATTTTGCCCAGGGCCCAGGGATCTTGGACCATACAAGTTTAAACAAATACATATTCTGAAACAGCTTAATTGTTGACTACAGTGTCATTCAAAACCTTCAATTTAATGATAATAAGGCTCTGCATGCCCTTCGACATGGATAGTTATTTCTTGCACCTGATCACCTTTTTTCTTCACCACGGATTCCTTGCCTCGCTTTTTGGATTGTTTTTGTCTAGTTTTATAGTGAACGATCTTAAATCTCTTAGCAATCATTTTCCTGGCATCCCACTTATCCGCGTTACTTTCGTGATTGTGACTGTACACAGACCTGATTACCGTTCCTTCTTGCAGAGTGGTGTAGATTGCCGATTTGCATTTGGTTTTGAACACGTGTCCGCACCGCCAGCGGATGTTGACACTGCCTTTGGCTGATTGAGTTCGGTGACGATGATATAAATTGTTGTCCACTATCAGTCTGGGATGTCTGCCAGGTTTCGGGTTTTCGATGTAAATAGTTGTCCAAGATTCTAAAATAAGACTGGTCAGAATACAGTCAAAAAAAATTATAGGTTTATTTTTATCTAAGAATATACATAAATCAAACAACAAGAGCCGGTCTTAAACTAACTGTATATATCTTAATTACATACTAACTTTACAAGAATAAAATTGAGATTTAATTAAATGCTTAATTAATATCTCGTTGAATTAGGACCAAAAGCAAAGGCATGGTTTTAATATAAAAATTACGAAAAAATGTTAGTTTCTTCTTCAAAAGCGAATATTTTCAACAAAAATAAAGCTATTGAGACGAACCGAAAGACAAACTATCGAGAAAGGATGTACGTAGATGACAAAATTATTTTTAAATTCCTTGTTGCCTAAACATATTCCACAGGGTGTTTTAAACTTTCACCAAAATATCAACATTTTGTTTTCCCTCATATAAAGGACAGATGTGAACTTTCATTTTTAATTTAGAAAGAAATACTAAAAAGTCAAATAATTTAGCTACAAATTGCTTAAAACATCATCAAAATCGGCCAACTAGAACGAAATATATTAAACATTAAAATACATCAAAATGTCAGGTGCCCGTTTTTCGTGCCGGTCGGTGAGTATATAAACGCCGAACGATTGCCACTCGCAATTAGGTTTATAGTGTTCAATTGGCAAACATTCGCAAGTCGCCAACTGCCGCAGGTACATACAGCCCCGCCATTACACATTTTATTTGTGAGAAAATAAGTTCTGGCGGTCCTAGGAGACCTTGGGCTATTCAAGTTTAAACAAATACATATTCTGAAACAGCTTAATTGTTGACTACAGTGTCATCCGAAACCTTCAATTTAATAGGTTCTGCATGCCCTTCGACATGGATAGCTGTCTCGCGCACCTGATCACCTTTTTTCTTCACCACGGATTCCTTGGATAGCTTTTTAGACGGTCTGGTTTTATAGTGAACGATCTTAAACCTCTTAGCAATCATTTTCTTGGCATCCCACTTATCCGCGTTACTTTTGTGATTGTGATTGTACAAAGACCTGATTACTGTTCCTTCTTGCAGAGTGGTGTAGATTACCGATTTGCATTTGGTTTTGAACACGTGTCCGCACCGCCAGCGGATGTTGACACTGCCTTTGGCTGACTGGGTTCGGCGACGATGATAGAAATTGTTGTCCACTATCAGTTTGGGATGTCTGCCAGGTTTCGGGTTTTCGATGTAAATGGTTGTCCAAGATTCTAATAAGACTGGTCAGAATACACTCAAAAAAACTATAGGTTTATTTTTATCTAAGAATATACATAAATCAAAAAACAAGAGTCGGTCTTAAACTAACTGTATATGTCTTAAATAACAAATTAACTTTAGAAGAATAAAATTGAGATTTAATTGAATACTTAATTAATATCTCATTGAATTTGGTTTGGACCACAACTTACTAGGTCTGTTGACTAAAACCAACAGCAAAGGCATGATTATAATATAAAAATTACCAAAAAAATGTTAGCGTCTTCTTCAAAAGAGAATATCTCCAACAAAAATAAAGCTATTGAGATGAACCAAAAAACAAACTATCGAGAAAGGATGTACGTAGATGATAAAATTATTTTTAAATTCCTTGTTGTTTAAACATATTCCACAGGGTGTTCTAAACTTTCACCAAATTACCAACATTATGTTTTCCCTCGTATAATTGCCAGATGTGAACTTTCATTTTTAATTTAGAAAGAAATACTAAAAAGTCAAATAATTTAGCTACAAATTGCTTAAAACATCATCAAAATCGGCCAACTAGAACGAAATATATTAAACATTAAAATACATCAAAATTTTAGGTGCCCGTTTTTCGTGCCGGTCGGTAAGTATATAAACGCCGAACGCTTGCCACGCGCAATTATGTTTATAGTGTTCAATTGGCAAACATTCGCAAGTCGCCAACTGCCGCAGGTACATACAGCCCCGGCATTACACATTTTGTTTGTGAGAAAATAAGTAAGGTCTGGCGGTCCTGGAACCTTGGGCTATTCAAGTTTAAACAAATACATATTCTGAAACAGCTTAATTGTTGACTACAGTGTCATCCAAAACCTTCAATTTAATAGGTTCTGCATGCCCTTCGACATGGATAGCTATCTCCCGCACCTGATCACCTTTTTTCTTCACCACGGATTCCTTGGATCGCTTTTTAGACGGTCTGGTTTTATAGTGAACGATCTTAAATCTCTTAGCAATCATTTTCTTGGCATCCCACTTATCCGCGTTACTTTTGTGATTGTGACTGTACAAAGACCTAATTACTGTTCCTTCTTGCAGAGTGGTGTAGATTACCGATTTGCATTTGGTTTTAAACACATGTCCGCACCGCCAGCGGATGTTGACACTGCCTTTGGCTGACTGGGTTCGGTGACGATGATAGAAATTGTTGTCCACTATCAGTTTGGGATGTCTGCCAGGTTTCGGGTTTTCAATGTGAATGGTTGTCCAAGATTCTAAAATAAGACCAGTTAGAATACACTCAAGAAAATATAGGTTTATTTCTATCTAAAAATATACATAAATCAAACTACAAGAGTGGGTCTTAAACTAACTGTATATGTATTATTAACATACTAACTTTAAAAAAATAAAATTGAGATTTAGTTGAATGCTTAATTAATATCTCATTGAATTTTCCACTTGGTGATTAATAAATTCAATGTATCGTATTGATGAAATTGGAAAAATCATTATAAAAAAATAGTGAATAAACAACGATTTTGCATATAAAATTAATTTTTCAAAATATAAAGTTGGATAAACATTGCACTCTTTTATATCATAAAATACAGGGTGTTTTAAAAAAATACAATAACAAGCATAAACTCCTCGGTATATATTCTACAATACCGGGTGTTTCTCAAAAGTGGCTCACCCCTATAACCTTTTTATTTTAGATAAAAAACGAAATTGTGTTTGCTTGACGTATTCAATTGTTTTCGGTCACTTCCAGTTTCACCGGAAATAGCACACTTGGTATATTTTTACTTGACTCGATAGAAAATGACACTCGCTGAATAAAATGACATACCACATGTCAACTTTGACAATTTTCGCTAAAAAATCTTATTTTAAATTTCAATCTAGAGTGGCTCTGTTAAAATCACTAATTTTTGAAAATGTCAAAAGTTAACATATGACATGCCATTTATTGAGACTGTCATTTTCTATCGAATAAAGTAAAATATACTGATGGTATTATTTAAAAAATAAAACTTGTAGTCATTTCCGGTGAAACAGGAAGTGACCGAAAACAATACCGAATACGTCAATCAATGTCATATACTAATATACCAAATTTCGTTTTTTAATCTGAAAAAATAAAAAAGTTACAGAGGTGACCTACTTCCGAGAAACACTCAATATAGAATAATTAATACAATTAAGTAACACACCTAATTTTGAAAAAAAACACTATAATAAAAAAAGTTTTTTTTTTTATTAAAATTATTCACTTAATCTTAAAATTAACAGGAAAATTGTGTTATTCGGCGAAGGAATTATTTAAATTTTCTGAATATAGTGAAAAACTGCTGAATGACATTTGACTTGTCGATGACAGGAGGCTCGTGATTGTGACCTTGAAGTTCCACCACTGTATTTCCGTAGGTGTTCAGCGCCCCTACGCACTTGTTTCTGTTTGCATCCACACAACGCCATCTGGTTTTCCCTGACAGTCTAGTGTGCACCATGTAACAGTAACCGTTTACGATCATTTTTGGGTGTTTCTTGCCTTCCATGAAATAAACAACTTCTAAAATAATTATTTATATAAGTTTATTTGTTAGACGGTGTTTAAAATATCTGTAAACATATACATGTATGCAAGGTGATCCACTGTTCCAAAATGCCCTAGCGGGTGCGTCTGAAAAGTGGCAGATAGGTATAGGAAACCCTAATATAGTTTGAAAGAGCATTTAAATCTGCTTCGATTTGTTTTAAAAAATACATAGTGTTGTATTTGATACAACGAAGTTTTTATGTAAAATAAATACATAAACTAGACCAGCAATTTTTGATACCCCTGTATACATTTAAGGAAGCAATAAAATGTTTAGTAAAGTTTATTTCTCTGGCTTCAAAGTCAGTACAAGAATTAATTCTGAAAAGTAATGTATAGGGTGTTGACAAACTTTTTTTATTTTAGCATGCATATTTAAATATCTTTAAATATCTCAAAAACCAAAGCTCATAGACATATTAAACCCATGATACAAAGAATACAAGGTATGATATTGCGCAGGTTGATCACTACGTCACAGGTGATAAACGGTACCATTGGTCGTTCCATAAGAAAAAATATAACTTTGATATGGATCTTAGTTCTGACACATTTGAAAATAATTTTAAATTATGCAC